AAAAAAAAAAAAAAAAACCAAAGGAGGCAGTACTTTCCATTTATAACTAAAAAAAAAACCCTAACTTAAATTACCTTTCTTTCAGTTGAGTGTGCGAGGAAAAAATAAAAAAGAAAAGCTTGAAGATTTTTTTAAAAACATGGTTAAATCAGCAGATGGAGTAATTGTTTCAGGAGTAAAGGTAAGATTTCATGTAATTAACAGTGGTATTAGTTGAGATTTTACTACTTTAAAGAAGGAAATTGAGATTTTAAGTGCGCAGAATTGTAGTAAAAGAGAAGTTTAAACAGTAGAATCCTTAGCCCTTGGGAAACTATGCCTTCTGCCCTGGGTTCCTCTCTAGAAAACTCTGAGGAGTGAGAAATTTATAGTTTGTAGGTATTTGCTCACCTGATAACCCATGCCCACTCCCTCCAAACTATATTATGTTCCAAGTACCTAGAACCATTTCCCTACCCAACTCCCAAGCCTTCCAAATCCTGTTTAGACATATTCCCTGAGTTTACGCCACTTGTGTGCATGGTGTAACTAGTTAGAGAAGAGAAACAGGACAGATCATCAACATGTAGGATGTGTAGTCCTCCTACGTGTAACAAACAGCTGCCTCTGTTTGCTACTTGCTCTTAGCCTTGCGAATATGAGGGGCAGCCTCCAGATTTGGAGTTAGAAGATTTCAGTTAAGATTTTGGTATTGTCTCAAGGTAGCTACATGTCCTTGGAAAAAATCACTTTATTTTTCTGAACCTCAGTTTTTCCATTTTAAAAATGGAATTAATACCATCTAGCTCACAGGATTGTTGTAAAGATAAGATTGAATGTGATAATATGTGTGGAAAAGCTTAGAAAGTCAATTATTTACCTAAATAATACTTTTAGGTAATTAAACTTTTCTTAATGTTCTAAAAATGGTAGAATTGATTTATCGAAGACTTACCTTTAACATATGAAAAATGTTAATAGTACATTGTAAGTGAACAACAAGATAAAGAATGTTGTTTTGTTATCATTGCCTGCTTTTATAGATACATCTATAGTAAAACTTGAGTGTAAGGAACTATTTTTGATTCATAGGCTGATTTTTCAGAGACAAGTCAGTTGATATGTTGGCAATGCATGTGCTATGGCTGCTTCCCCATAGGGACTCAGCTCACTTCCATTTTGATGTTGCTCATGCATTAATATTAAGCATTTTTCTTAGCTATTAAATATAAATCATTAAGTTGATTGTGACTTTGATAGTTTTATTAGTAAAGTAATATTTTTTAAAAAAAGAATTTATCACTTCTATTTATGGAATAGCAAAAAAAAAAAAAAAAAAAAATTTAAAGAAGTATATTCGGGCACGGCGCCTATAGCTCAACCGGCTAAGGCGCCAGCCACGTACACCTAAGGTGGTGGGTTCGAATCCCCAGCCCGAGCCCACCAAACAACAATGATGGCTGCAACCAAAAAATAGCCGGGCGCTGTGGCGGGTGCCTGTAGTCCCAGCTACTTGGGAGGCTGAGGCAGGAGACTCGCTTGAGCCCAGGAGTTGGAGGTTGCTGTGAGCGTGATGCCATGGCACTCTGCCCAGGGGGATAGCTTGAGGCTCCGGCTCAAAAAAAAAAAAAAAAAAAAAAAAGTATATTCTAAACCAAGTGTATGACCAGCCCAGAGCACATGGCCTCAAGAGGCCTGAGAAAATGTTCCCTATAAAGTAATAACAGTTTTAGCCAAGTGCAGTGCTCACACCTGGGAGGTTGAGGCAATCCTGAGCAGCCTGAGCAAGAGGGAGACCCCATCTTTACTAAAGACAGAAAAATTATCCAGGCATGGTGGTGGACGCCTCTAGTCCCAGCTACTTAGGAGGCTGGGACAAGGGGATTGCTTGAGCCTGAGAGTTTGAGGTTGCTGTGAGCTTGTGGCACTCTACAGGACAACAGAGTGAAACTCTGTTTCAGTCTATCAATCAATAAAGTAATAACATTTTTAAATATTTATAATGGGTTGATCGATTGGTAGCCCACAATTTGTTACTTAATCTTCATAACAGTCCTACAAGTTAGATTGTTTTATTCCCATATTTATAGTTAAGAAGACTTATATATGCTTACAGAATTTAAATGACATTTTGTCACTACTAACTCTTGCAGCTGGTGTTCTCTTGTTCCAGTTACATCATGGCACCTAGTGCTTTTTCAATGGATTATTACTAGGGTTTTTTATTTTTATTTTTATGTTTTGTAGAGACAGAGTCTCACTTTGTCACCCTCGACAAAGAGTGCCATGGCATCACAGTTCACAGCAACCTCCAGCGCTTGGGCTTAGCTGATTTTCTTGCCTCAGCCTTCTGAGTAGCTGGGACTACAGGCGCCCACCACAACACCTGGCTATTTTTTGTTGCAGTTTGGCCAGGGTTGGGTTCAAACCCACCACCCTTGGTATATGGGGCCAGTGCCTTACTCACTGAGCCACAGGCGTCACTCTGTTACTAGTTTAAAAGGAAGAAAAGTACTGTTTATTTTTTTTTTAGTCCCAACACTGATAAAGGCAAATAATTTTTATTTTTAATGTATATCTGGCCTTGTTTCAAAAGACAGAGTTTGATAATATTCTTGCTCTCAGCTAGTTTGTCAGTTAGTTTGTCAGGATTCCCCTGTCCAATACCTAAGCACAGGCAGCATTCAGGAATGGTCCATGGAGTACACATAATAGACCAAGAAAAATAAATTATTATTCTCTCTACCAGAATATTTTTTCTCAAAAAAGCAATTGATCATTCTTGCTGGTAATAATGTATTTTTTGGACAAGCGGGATTGTAGAAGCAGAGCACAAGTAGGAACATATTTCAGAGCATAACATGAACATTAACCATATGGGGAGCTCTAAGCCTTCAGCTATTAAACCATAAAAGAGTTCTAATAGGCTGGGTACGGTGGCTCATGCCTGTAATCCTAGCATTTTGGGAGGCCAAGGTAGGTGGGTTGCTTGAGCTCAACAAATTTAAGACGAGCCTCAGCAAAAAGTGAGACCCCCATCTCTACTAAACATAGAAAAACTGAGGCAGGGGGATTGCATGAGGCTGAGGTGGAGGTTGCTGTGAGCTGTGATACCACCGCACTCTATCCAGGGTGACAGCGAGACAGAGTTTCACTTTGTCACCCTCAGTAGAGTGCTATTGCATCACAGCTCACAGGAACCTCCACCTTTGGGGCTTAGGCAATTCTCTTGCCTCAGCCTCCCAAGTAACTGGGACTACAGGTGCCTGTCATAAGGCCTGGCTATTTTTTTGTTGTTGTGGTTTGGCCAGGGCTGGGTTCGAACCTGCCACCCTCAGTATATGGGGCCGGCGCTACAGGCACCACCTGAGAGTCGCCCAAAAGAAGGGCTCTTAATAGATAGACATGCATGTCTGTCAACATCTTAACTTGGTAAAGTCAACATACCACCTGATTATTGGAGGATAGCTGTGTTATCTTACTGATGATCTTTTATATTTATAACAAAACATAAAGTGATTTACATGGTAAACTAAAGCAAATAAGTAAAAAAGTTCATTTTTTTCTTTTGCTCCTGTAGGATGTAGATGATTTCTTTGAGCATGAACGAACATTCCTTTTAGAATATCATAACCGAGTTAAGGATGCATCTGCTAAATCTGATAGGATGACAAGATCCCACAAAAGTAAGATTTCTCTGTGGTTAAAGCTTACTTTTTTTTAATGGAATAATTACAAAATTGATATTTATGGTTTGAAAAGGTCATAATACTATGCAGCTTTTTGCCTTTTTCACCAGTGTTGACATGTACATTCATGATGAAAAAGAAATAATGGCTAAAACTGCTGGTGCTGGCTGGGTACAGTGGCTCACACCTGTAATCCTAATGCTTTGGGAGACTGAGGCAGAAGGATTGCTTTAGGCTAAGAGTTTGAGATCGGCCTGAGCAACATCACATGACCTAGTTTTGTAAGAAAAGTACCAAAAAATTAGCTAGGTGTGGTGGTGCATACCTATAGTCCCAGCTCTTCAGGAGGCTGAGACAAGAGGATTGCTTGAGTCCAGGAGTTGGAGGTTGCTATGAGCTAAGATGATGCCACTGCATTCTAGCCCAGGCAGCATAGCAAGACCCTCTCTCAAAACAAAAACTGTTGGTGTCTTAGTACCGATCAAGGCAGTGTAATAAAGTCTATATTCTTTATTGCCATCTTGTGATTTTTAAAAATGTGACTATCACTTAAGAATATACTTGAAGGGCTCGGCGCCTGTGGTTCAAGCAGCTAAGGCACCAGCCACGTACACCTAAGGTGGCGGGTTC